GTTAGAGCTCTGTAATTTTGGACATGCTTCTAGGTGGTGGATTCCCTGCCTCCTAACCCCTGGTGTTCCCCTCCCTCTCCAAAGAAGGAAATAAAATTCTGTTGAAACATTTTCCATGCTTCTTGGGAGCTGGGCCCAGCTGTGAACTAGCGTGAGACCTTGTTCCATCATGGTTGGTTTTTTGGCCAAGGGAATGAACTGCCTTCATGCTGTGGGTCTGATTCATTATCAGAAGTAGTGGGAGGAGTTAATTGTGGGAATCTGTACCCTAATCAGCCTGGAGTTAGTAAGGTATAGTAGCAGGGAACAGGCTGCCTGTAGCCAGTGCAGTAGAGGCTGGGCCTTAGAGTCCACATTCTATCCTTGAGGGCCCAGCCTGGTATGGCTAATAGTTGTTCAGTCCTGGTTGTATAAGGATGGCAATGGTAGCCAGAAATCAAAGCACAGTGTGCCTGGTGTGGGAGAAAGGTGGAGTGCCCTCAAAGCTCTGGGGCCCTGAGCTAGCCATGTGTGGGCCCAGCCCAGTGATAGAAGTGAGGGAGAGAGACATTGTTGGGAGAGTCAGCCCTAGAGTGAGGGTTTTTGAAGTGAATGATCCCTTTCACACAACCACCTTGGAAATGGAGGATGGAATCCCAGACAGAAATCACAGCAGTCATCTTGGGCCTCAGTCCTGTGGGTGGTCTCCAAACATGCCCAGGGGGTTGGGTGTGGAAGAATGTGGCTGTTGTGGGGTTTTCTCATTCTGCAATGTGGGATGAGGGTGGGGGAATAGGGGACAGCCACACTTGCTCTGTCTCCCCATCCTGTCCCTCAGCTGCAGCTCTCCTACCCCTGTCATTTCTCTTCAGGGTGTCTGGCCAGCATCCTGGTCCTTTTCTTTGAGGCAGACTGCTCAACTGGGGATTTGATTAGTGTCAAGAATGGCAACCCCTGGACTGAGCCACTTAAGTGATGTGTCTTCTGGTGCCCACATCTTTCTTCTTGTCTGATCCTCTTGTTTCTCTACTACCAGGTCACACCTCCTAATTTCTCAGTGTCACAAGTGCCCAACACTCCTAGCTGTCCCCAGGCCTATTCTGAACTGCAGACACTGTCCCCCAGTGAGCGGCAGTGTGTGGAAACAGTGGTCAACATGGGCTACTCATATGAGTGTGTTCTGAGAGCCATGAAGAAGAAAGGAGAGAATATCGAGCAGGTGAGTGGTTGGTGGTGGTGGGGGGTGGGGGGGTGGCCAGTCAGGAGAAAGGCCTGTGTCTCTCCTAGAGCCCCTCAGACTCACAGCACCAGAGTTCTTTCCTGTGAGCTTGGGGGGACTTAGGGTGCTTTGTTGGAGAAACTAGCAGCCTTAGCAGCAGTACTACTGCTGAGGGAAAGCCCTAGGTGTAATGGAGCTGCTGGACTCTTACCCAGCTACTGCTTTCTCTGCCCCTCCTAAGAGGGCTCCCTTGGCTGAGGTAAAGTCACATGTCTCCTTCCAGAAATGTTTACTCCCTGTCACAGCTACCTCTAGGGAGTTCCAGAATAGGGTACTGGAGTTTTAAACCTGAGGGCATTTTCTGACTTGGGCTGTTTCTCAGAAGAATATCCTTCCCAGGCTATGGAGTCGAAATCCTAGGAGATGGGAGTCAGCTGTGGTAGAGACTTGTTTGAAAAATGGCTCCTCATGTTCACAAGTGTGTGCCTGTCTGTTCAGCAAGTAGTCATTGAGGTCCTGCTGTGTTGGATACAGTTTAAGGTCTGTCCAGCATCTGATAGCTGGACTGGGAAGCAGACATCACACTAGCTGGTTTAAGACGCTTGGGAAGCAGAGCACTGTGGCAGTAGGTGTTCAAACTTCATTTCTTTTCTTAGATTCTTGACTATCTCTTTGCACATGGACAGCTCTGTGAGAAGGGCTTCGACCCGCTTTTAGTGGAGGAGGCTCTGGAAATGCACCAGTGTTCAGAGGAAAAGGTAGGAATCTTCATGCTTCACAGGACCTCTCTGGAAAGGAGGGGCAAAATAGTCTGTCCTGAGGTTTACCCCTGGCCCACAACCCCCTCTCCCTACTGCAGATTGAGGCAGTCAGAGCATGGAATCTTTCAAGTGTCCAGATATTTTGTTAGTTTGGGTTGAAATCTAGAATTCCAGGGAAGGGAAGGGAAAGATGACCTGGGCAAAAAACCACATACGTGAGGGTGACTGGAGAAATAGACACTTTGCCTAGCCTGCTCCCTGGAGAGCAGTCATTTCTGGGTTCAATATCCTGCCTTGGTGGGAATGTGACTCTGGGTGATGGGACCTGAACAAAGGTCAGCAAGAGTTGGGACTGGGCATGGCTCCCGAAGGATGATGGGCTGTGGTGTCAACCTGTTGGCCCCAGCTTCCTCCACAGCCCTCTTCTGCTTGCTCAGGGACCTTAGAGTGGCACCTGAGGCTCTGGTGAAGGATGCAGATGCCCCTAAGCAACGCCCTATGCACACATTCATCCACTCAGCTGTGCTGTGTGACCAGACCCCTTTCTTCAATCTGTATTCTGTTCAACCCCTTAGATGATGGAGTTTCTTCAGTTAATGAGCAAATTTAAGGAAATGGGCTTTGAACTGAAAGACATTAAGGAAGTTCTCCTCTTACACAACAATGACCAGGACAGTGCTTTGGAAGACCTCATGGCTCGGGCGGGAGCCAGCTGAGACCAGGCCCAGCCTAGGCTCTGCCACGGAACCACCCCTGCTGGAGGCCCTGAGGCACCCCTACCTGTGGGGAAGAAGGGACATACTTCCAGATTTTCTTTTGGGGATGAAGGTCAGGTTTGGAGACTGTGCTTGCCTGTCTCTATGAGCCTAGGCCCTGAGCTGGGGAGAAAATGGGGAAGATTTGGGTACGTGAATGCCCCCAGAACTGTTCTGGCTCCTTCCATATTAAATGTATTTGTATTTTGAGAAGTGTCCTTCCCACTATGGCCCTCCAGAGAGACTTCCATGTTCTTTCTGGAGTCTGTATGTCCTCAGCCGAAACCTGGCCTAGGTGCCGAAAGGAGTCAGGGAGAACGGGTGGAAGGACCAGACTCTCCGTGCTGCTGTGGGGCTAGATGCTTTCCTCCCCTGCACTGGTGGACTGACTTCTAGTCCAAGTTGAGTGCAATTGAAAGGTTCTTCCAGGGTTTTTCTTTTTCCCCTTTTAACAAAAGTCTCTTAGTGTTACACTGGTTCTGCAGTGTCTCTGCAGTGCAAAGAATGCCCTTTTCCCTGTGGGGCCCTGAGTTTGCCTCTCTGTCAGGCACTTCACCGTGCTTCCTCACCCCAGTCCTTCTTTTGGCTTGGTTTGCACCACAATCCTGTGCTACCCAGGAATTTAGAGCCCCCTGCTCTAGGAAACAGTTACCAGTTTAAGAAACCATTGACCCCTTCCTGGCACATTGAGTGGGGGATAAATAGGCTGCGATTTAGTTGCCCAGCGTTATTGCCACCTCGGTTCTCCTTGAGAACAGTCTCTGTCCAGCCCTCTGCTCTAGGATGACACCGCGCCTAACACCTAGTCATAGAAATGAGTCTCTTTGGTTTGTTTTGTATTATGTTATATATCATTAAAGATCTAAATACAAAGGCTATACCGTCTTGATGAATTTAAAGTAATTTGCTAACTATTTTGATTCTTCAGAAAGAACTACTAATAAAAATTTAAAAGGTATGTCTTCTTGTGATAATTTTTTTATTGCCAAGGGCTGTTTTACTGAGGGCTGGGGGTGAAGGGATTGCCTAGGGATGGAACAGGACCTAACCATTTTCTGTCATTTCTGTAGTTTCTTCCCACTATAGGCCTGTGGGACCCAGGAGCTGGTCTTCCAGTCTGCCCAGGTTTGTGGTTGGCAGAGGCAAGCCCCGACAAGGGTCTATTTAAATGTCACCTTGCTGTCTCTGGGCAAAGGGATTATGCCTTCCTGAAAGACTGTGGAGGTGAGATAGGCTGGGCTTTTGGGAGAGTCTCCCAGAAATGAGGGGAAAAAAACCCCTTTTCCTGTGAGCAGAATCAGACATTTATGTTCTCTTGAGACATAGGCAGGAGTAGCTTCAGACTGCTTCACCAGCTCTCTTGTAGCTGATAGAACTAGATTTATCCCTAAATATTCTTCTTATACTTCATACCATCCCACAGGCCTTGTGCTAGTATCCGGGAGTGAGGGTCTCTAATTTTTAGTGATCCATGTGAGAAGAGGCTGTAGAACCTTTGGGTCAGGAAGCACCAAGCTGGAAAGAGGTTGCCCTCTGGTGGTCTGATCAAGTATGGCAGAGATTGTAAAAGGGTGGTCGGGCTGCAGAGCTGCCCATCTCTGCCGCTTAAATTCCCTCATTCAATGCCAAGATGCTGAACACAGGCCCTTGAGAAGGGGAGATCCTGGGTGAAGGTGAGGGCAGGAGATGGACTGCCCTGAGATCCTCCAGCTCTTCAGCTTTCCCATGAGGGATGTGTGTGGCAGGTGAGGAGTCTTAGGAACCGGGAATTGCCACAGGAGAATGAGGGCTACTGGCCAGCAAAAGGCATAGGTGGGAAGAGAATAAATAATAATGCAGTGATTGACATGGGCACCCTCTTCGGTGTCAGTGCTGACTGCAGGCAGGGAGGGAAACTGGAGGCATAAAGCCTGTCCCGTATTTGCTGTTCAAGACACGTCAAAGTTTATTCATTTTACATTTTCAGAAGCCAACCTAATGTCCCAAATCAATCTCCAAGGGCTGATGGGGCAGAGCTCACTCCCCCATTCCACTAGCACCGCTGTTTGAGCTTTTGGCCAAGTCTTAAAGAAAGGCACTGAATTTGGCTGAAAAGCCTGTGGGCTGAACATGTTTCCTTCCCAGATTGTGATCTCTGACTGCTAGGTTACCACTGGCCACCGCATCCTCTGAGCCTCAAATTCAGAAAGTTTTTAAAAGTGTTTCCACAAATAAACAATGAGTAAGACAAATTCTCTTCCAGCCCTAAAGAAAAGGGAGGGGGCATATTAAGTTCTTTGCATGGGTCTATCCTTTCTTACAGATGCTCCTGTGCTGGGAACTGAGGGACACTGGCTTGGTCCTGAGAGAGGAGCTGGGGCCCAACCAAGGCCATATGTGGTTGAGGAATGGGTTCTGGTATCTGCAGAGAGGACCTGGCAGAGGCCCATCCAGTCCCTGAGAGCCCAGCACAGCTTCCTGAGCTGCTCCTGCCACCCTAGACTGGACCTTGCTCTCAGACACCATTGTTTTCTCAGGGGCTGCAGTAGGCCTGTGGCCCATGGCAGGCCAGGTACAGCTGCAGCTGGCTCCTCAGACTCTGGATGCACTGGGATTTCAGAACCATGATTTCATCCAACTGGGTCACAAAATCTTCAAAATTCTGAGAAAGGAAACAAAGGACAAATGGAAGCTTATGCTCTTGGTGGCCCTCTACCAGAGCTACTTTTCTAGTCCCTTCTCTTACAGGGACATTTCTGAGCCCAGGCCCCTTTTCCTGGAAAACCTTCAGGACAGGTACTGTGGCACAAGGTAGGGCCAGCTTCTGTGCATTTGAGAACGTAGAGAGGTATGTTACAGGGCAAAGCGGTGTTTTTGTATAAGTACCTCTGGTCTGCACATGGCATGTCACTGTTGCTGTCACAGAGAGACCCCAACAAGCCACTAGGAAGGCAGAATGAAGGCGGACAGAGGCTGGAAATGTTTTAGCCTTGAAATGGGCAATAAAGCACCATTTCCCACCTGCCCTTGCACCCCTTCAACTATCTGAGAGGGATGGCAAAAGTAGGCTCAAGGCCTCAAAAATGGTTAGAGTGTGATAGCAGACCGTTACCCCACATGTAACCACAACAGATAAGGGCGACCATCAAACTTGCTGCTGGCTAATTCCCAACAGCCCCTGCATGTCCTGCCAAGGCCACTTACATTAGGAACCAGTTGGCTCATCAGGGTCTCCTCCTTGAAGCCCAGCTCCGCCATTTCATCCAGCTGTTCCTGGTGTGCTTGGATGACCGCTTGCCTGGGAATACCAGAGGGGACACTATGATCCTCTGGGCCTTCTGTTCTCCTGAACAGCTTTCTGGAGCTGGGCCTCATTGCTAGGCCAAGAGCTGCCTCTACCCAGAGTGGTCAAGGCTCTGACCAGGGCCAGCCCACCACCACCGCCCACCTTATCTATTCTTAGGACTGTCAAGAAACTAAGGAGTACCAACAAAATACTGGGAGAGGGGTGGGCTTCTCAAGCTGCCTCCTACCTCCCCAGGTACACTGAGGGACAGGCCTGGGTGCTGCTTCTACATCAGTGCTGCCTACAGCTTCCTGCAGAAAGGCTCAAGGATGCGACACTTGGCACTGCTGTCATTGAGTGGGGAAGGGGGTCCAGATACCAAAGCAGGGGGTTTGAGCTAGAAGCTGGAGGCTCTGCCTTTTTGTCAGACCTTGCTGATGGGTGGAGACCACTGGAGACAGACAATCCACCTGCGACAGGCAGGCACCTCAGCTGTGTGTTCCTGAATGTCCTTCTCTTTGTCCATGGCCCTGGCCTGAGCCCAGTGGGCAGGAGGCACACAGCCAGCCTGGCAACCAGCCTTGGTATCAGGAGCCTTAGCATAAGGCTGTAACCTTACAGGATTCCCACAGGCCACCCTGCTCTCCAACTCCTGGGCCTCTTATGTGGAGGGGGGCCCTCCAGGATCTCCCCACCTCCTGTCTTTCACATCCTTTGCACTGCCATCTCATCTCTGTTGCACTGCTCAGAGCATCCTTTGTGGAAAGCAGCCAAACCCCGTTTTTCACGTTCCCCATCTTGGAAGGTGCCCAGGCGGTCTTAGCTCTGGAGTCACAAGGCTGCAGCTGCATTGTCTCTGGGCAGCACTTCCAGGAACACAGACCAAACAGAATGGAGAGGAGGATTCTGATCTTAACCACAGGTCATATGCTTGCTTAAGGCTTTTCTAGGCTGAGGATCCACCCACTCTGACAGACCTGCTTTAATAAATTATTCCTGCTGTTCGTGTCAGACGCTTTTAGGCAGGCTCCCTTGAGAAGCTGGACAAAGCCTCTCTCACTGCAGTATAGCTCTGACACTGAGCCAACTACAGCCATGCCCATCATAGACAAAACAGTAAGCTGGAGTAGGAGTAGGGGCGCCAGAGGGAATCAGGTGTTAGGGAGAAAGTCTGACTTACTGTGCATGCCCCAGGGTGGGCTGATGGAGTGTCCCTGCCGTCTTGGGAGAGCAGCTGGGGACCAGGGAAGAGCCTGCCTTTGCTAAGCACCTGGGGATCATCCTGCATTTGAGCCACGTAATGTCCTCATTGTAGCAGGGCAACTTGACAGGGTCTGTGCGCACACCTGGCTCCTGCCAGTAGAGCCCTGTTGGATGCCTTCTGTCCTGGGCCCAGGGCTGGTCAGCCACATCACTACTTCCTGTTTGTGGAATGAGTGTAGGCTCACCGTGGGGTACCCCACTATGTGTGTTGGGGAAGGGCTTTCCTGGGAAACCCTGGGAGCTGCCCAGCTCTGTCCCCTCAGCATTGGCATCATACTGTGCTCTGTCTCCGTGTTGCTGGGAGTAGAGTGCAATCTCTCTGCTCTGGCAGACCTCCCCCAGGTCAGCCTCCCTGTTGGGCAGCTTGTCAGCTGGGTGTTGATGGATGGGTGATGGGGACAGAGCTGGAAGATCACCACCAGGCTTGTTGTCAGGGGGAGATGATGACAGCCACAGGTGCCCAGTTGCTAAAGACACTGGCAGGACTGCCTCTTGATCACCAGATGACCCTGTGTAGCTCCCAGCTGGCCCCTTTGTACCCACTGCCAGTAGACTGTGTGCAGCCTCATCCTTGGCCAGATGGTCCAAAGGAGGAGAGCACTCATGGTCTAGGTTCTCCAGGAGGGACACAGTGAGAGGAGCCATCAGTCCAGAAGCACATTCGGAACACGTGCCTAGTTCCCCTCTAGAGCCTTCTCCTTGGAAAGGGTTATTGTTTTTCATTGTTCTGGTTGCCAGAGCCAGCCTATCTTCGCTGACTTCTCTCAGAGGTGTGCTGACTGGGTCTCTTTGGCCTGGGGATCCAGGAACTGTAACTTGGCATAGTGAGAAAGTGAAACCACCTTCCTCCAGGGATGATGAGCTGCCCTCAGCCTGCCCAGGACCTTCACTTCTGAAGGCATCCTGTCTGAGATCAAAGGCTGGGCTGCCATCTGTTTTCTGGCTACATACAAAGTCTACCTGTGAGCAGTAAGGCTTCTCTGCCAGGTTCTCCATTGGAGAAGACCCTGAGGAGGTGGAGTCCTTCTCTTTGCTCCAGTCCAAGGGCACCGTACTTGGGCTGTGACCATAATTCAGTGCTGCTCTTCTGTGGCTCGTGGGGTCCCTGGAAAACATCCAGTTTCCTCTTTGACCATTATCATCTGTCTGAGGGCTGAAAAACAGACTCAGCTGCCTTTCGGCCACCTGCTCATCAGGACCTTGTTCCCTCTGATGAAGGAAGAATGAGCCTTCATTAGTCTCCAGGGTGTTTCTCTCCTTTGTGGTCCTCTGACTGGACACATGTGAGAAAGAATCTTCACTGAAATCACTGTCATCAAGGTCCTCAACTTGGGCTCCATCACTGTTCTCGGAATAAGAGCAGAAGGAAGGAGGGGCCTCACTCTGGAGCCGCCCCTCTAGGGTTCTGCATAAAAACCTTTCCAGTGGCTGGTGCTGTAACTTCTGTTGGAGGAGAGGTGGCTGCTGGAACTGCTGGTGATAAAAGCGCAAATGTTCCTCCCTTTCCTGCTGGCGTGGAGGGATGCTTGTCCAAGCCTCAGATGCTGGCCTGGCAGGCATACCTGCCCAGCTGCCCTGACTGTACTCTGCTAAGTGGCAGATGTTGCCAAAGGAGAGCGCAACTTGTGACACAAACTGCTTCTGCACTGGCCGCGCGGTCGGCACGTTCCTGCACTTGGAGTGTGGTTTGCAATGCACCAGGCCTGGGCCAGGGGCCCTGCTTTCCACCCTGCTGGAAGTTTTGTTGCCAATTTGATTTTTCTCAGAGTACAGTGGAGCTGACTCTTCTGTTCTCGTTTTGGTTAAATGTCCAGACCGTGTGCTCCCCTTGACAGGGCTGGCTGGAAGGACCCACTCTTGGGGAGAACTCCCTCTGGAGCCGTGCCTTTTACCAGGGACTTTGGGTAGAGATGCAAAAGGGATGTTGGGTGAGTGGCTGGCCAGAGGACGGGCCTTCCCTCTTGTGGAGCCATGTGCCATGGTGAGCGACTGCTGAAGCCCCAGCTTGACTCGTTTTGGAGAGCACTTGTCTGGTGGGACCACAGCGGGGGTCTGAATTTGTTTCGGAGAAGAGTTTCCAGATGTCCTATTTCGACTGGTAGCTGAAGTGCTACACTTAATGCCTTTCTTTAGTTCTTTGACCCTGTAAATGACCATTTTATGTTAAATATATACTTTTGCATATTCTATATTCTTTTTCTACAGCTTTCAGGGAAAACAAAAACCAAAAAAAAGTATTACAAGGATTTGGAGTTTTCTTTTTATCTGGGGAAGAATAAGAGGAAACGGGGAGATTTGTTTCAGCATGAGATACCTACCTCTCTTTACCTAAACAAAAAAGTCTGGGGTCTTCCCTGAGGATATAAACATGCACCTAACATTATATGATCAGAAGAGTGTTGCAAATACCACAGTCCCATGTGAGGGACAGGCCAGGGGACCTAGTCTCAGAACTATAGTACATCCAATGTAGGGCCCACGCCACGCTCCTATAGATGGGCCAACTCAGGAGCCTGGTGTCTACCACTCACCTGCTTTTCCACAATCAGAGCCCACTTTTCCTGCAGACCACTTCCTCTTAGGCTTCTCTGAGAAAATTAGTTCCCTCAAACATGCTGGACAGTTCAGGAAGCAAAAGCCCTCTAGCAATAAGCAGGTTTGTACTAATTACATTAAGGGAAAAATGATGTGTCCATTCCCAGGGTTTCTCCACCGTAACACTAGCAGTATTTTGGGCCAGATAATCCTTTGTGGTGGGAGCTGTCCTGTGTACTGTGGGATGTTTAGCAGTGTCCTTGGCCTCTAGCCACTAGATGCCAGTAGCATTTCGCCCCAGTCACAACAATCAGGGGTTTCTAGATACTGCCAAATGACCCCTGGGAAGATGACAGAGTCTAGTCCACAAGGGACTTTCTAGATACACAGGTGTTTCTAGATACTGCCAAATGACCCCTGGATAGAGACACATTCTAGTCCACAAGGGAATTTTAGAGAACATGGAAAAATCCAGAATTAGGTCTCTGCTAGGATTCAGTTGTCAAGATCAGTCTCTTACTCTGTAATAATTAAAACAGTTTAAGAATTTGGAATTACAAAGAGACATCAAGTAAAAATAGTATTGTCCTGTGGTTTGCAGATTCTACATTAAAATCTCCTAGAAGAGATCAGTACTTATTCCTGGGGGCTCCCAGAAAATGTCTTTTCCATTGTTTTGGTTTTAATCTAATCCTCAAAGGTAGATAAATGACCCCTCTGGCCATTTCTAAAAACTAAGATTGTAAGCCTGACACTAAAACTTGATTTAAATCTTCCCTTTAGGGGAAGGCAAGGCAGGCAGGTAACAAGGCTAGGCAAAGAGAGAGGTAGGATGTGGCTAAAGATACAGGAATTGTGTCCATGGGCCTTTTTTAGGTGTTGCAATACGGCGTACATACAAGGAAAGGGCTGAGAGGTACCACAGCAAGTCTACTTCCTGTTATAAAAATCTTAAGTATTTTAGTTTCATTGAGAGAAATACTACAATTTTCTCCTAGGAGTCAGAGTAAATAATCTAGAAAGCCTGAAGAAATCTTAGATGTAAATTGGTCGTTGATGCTAAATGCTTCCAATGTACTCTGTTACCAAAATCACTCCTGTCACTGAGCAATCTTCTGATATGGTTGTTAGGGCTCCAGCTGGAAATTTACTTTTGGACTATTTAAGCAACATTGCTCAAGCATGTGGAGAGATGAAACTTCTAAAGCAGAAAAGGAAATTTTTAAGCAATAAAATAATCCTCACCCTGTGTGTATGTAGGTTGTTACCTCAAATTAACTTCATTAGGCTAAGCACATAAAACAAATGGCATTCATGTTTATTTTCAATAATTTATCAGAGACTGCTTCAAATGGAAGAGATTATTTCTATTGCACTTTTTCCATTTTTTTAAACCAAAATGATTTCAAATAGTTTCTCAATTATACTCAATATATCCCCTATGAGAAAGGTTTATTTTCCTCTTCCTTTACTGAGGTGCTGAGAGATTTCTTGTTCTCTGTTCCTAATGATGAAGTTCTTACTTCAAGCAATTGTATATTTCCCCTTTGAGGAAACTTATTTGGGGGACCTATTAATATCACCATTGTTAAGTTAATGTATATTGAGTGCTCACTATGTGCCCAATGTAGTGCTAAGCCCTTCCTACATATTACCTCATTACTTCACATAACACAGTATTTCACAGAACACATAATGTAGTAGGTGCTAATATTATCCCCTCTCAGATAAGTAAACTGGGGCCCAGAAAACCTGCCCAAGGTCATGTAGCTAGTGGCAGAGGCAAAGTATTGGCCCAGTCTGACTCCAGAGCCCACTCTTGTAACCACTTTGTAAACTCTCCTAGTTAAATGAGATAAAGTACAAGGAGGGACTCATTCAAGCCCTGACAGCCAGGAGGGGCTCCTTTTATTCACAAATATTTATTGTATATCTAATAGGAACCAAGTACTGTCTGGGCAGTAAATACAGTGGAGAAAAATACAGGCAAGGTTTCCTGTTCTCATATAACTTAAATGATAGCTCAATTTTCCTTCCATGTGAGTTTCATAAAATATTCCTCAATAGGAATAAAGAAAAAAAGTAACAGGTTTTCCCTCAAACAGATTGCTAATCTTGGAGATAGCTTCTGGGAGACCAAAGAGAAGGATGGAAGATAGGACCAGGCAGCAAAGCAGCCAGAGGGAAGGATGGTAATAATAGCATCTTCACCTGCTGTTGGAGACATACATAACCACAGGGTGAGAGATGAGAGGGAGCGTAGCAGACATCAAAGTAATCCCGGAAAACACTGGCCACATGGTTAGAGGTGTTGGCCTTGCCACCAACTCCTAATGTGCTCTTTTAAAGGTCCTGTACTTCTCTGGGCCTCAGTTTATCCTTCTGTAATACATCTGGGTTGGTCTGTTCTGGACCTACATAGCTCTAATGCTCCTGCCCTGACAAGTTAAACAGATATTCTGTCCTTTACTATTAGGGCTGAGGCTAGCAGGAAAAAAACTCACTGAGTCTTCCACTCTGGAGAAAGATTTCATCTCCCACTAGCCATTTAAAAGCCACTGATGGAGCTGTCTCCTGAACCAGGGCATGCATCACCTTTTTGTCATATTCACACTTGTAAAATGGCAAGACCTACCAGGTCACATTCTTGAAATCACCAATTGCACATTCTACTGGTAATGGGATCATGGCCCCAAGAACCATGTGGAACTCAAGGTCAGATCTCTATGTGTATATGACACACACACACACACCTGCTACCTGAGAGCAACTCACCTGTCAGCATAGCGCAAGGTATTCAGAGTGTGTTCAGTGGCCACGTGGCTTGGTGAGATGTTGGCAATCATGCAGGTTTTGGCATTGCCAATGAAAGAGTCCTTCAGGACCTGCCCGAAACAGAAGGCAGGTCCTTGAGTCAAAGGGTATATTGATTACTTATTGTGTACAGGACAGTGGGCCAGAGTCACCCCTTCTTCAAAAAGGCAATTCACAAAAAGAAGAAATGCAAATGATCAGTTAACACTCACTTCACCACTAATCAAAAAAAATGCAAACAAGCCATTAGAAAAACAAATATATTTCACCCACAAAATTAAGAAAGACTCATGAGGTGAGCAGCTGCCCTGGTGAAAGTCTCGGAAAATGGGCACTTTCCTACACTGTTACACCACTCTGGTACCATGTGCCAGGAACTGGTAAAAGCTTTTGGGAAAACAGTTTGGCAGTAAGTCTCAAAACATGAAGAATGTGCACACTGTTGGCTTGGCAGTCATACTCCCAGGACTTTATCCTAAAGTGGCATTGTTCATATGATTTAAAAAAATGTACACACAGGAGATTAACTACAACATTACCATAGTAATAAAATTTGGAAAATCTAAGGGTCCATATAAATAGGGAACAAACTAAAAAGTTGCAAACTGAATGTAACACAGCCACTAAAAATAATTATGTATAATCTGTACTTAGGTACATGGAAAGATCTAAAACTTATCTTTGAGTGAAAATGGTAAATGATTCTATAACTACAAGTGGATCTATGTGTGGATGGATATGTGGGCAGAAAGATGCCTGGAAGGATGTTTACCAAAATGTAGCAGTGGTTATTGTAGGGAGGTGGGATTTTCAGGTGCCTTTTACCAATTTCTTTGTATTTGTATGTACTGTTTGAAATTTTAAAAAATTAAATAGGAAAACATTTTCTGGGGTTGGGGGATTTGTTTTAAAAACGTAACAGAGCTAATGTCAGAGTCAGGACTAACCACCTGTAAGAAGGGCTTCCTGGGTCCCTGGCTGAAATAGTGTTTGAGAAGACACAATCTAACTCACAGATCACTAATTCTGACTAGGAAGGAGCTGTATTATTAGAGGTTCCTCCTCAGGCCCTGTTAAGCTGCTGGTCTAGCTGTACAGAGTGAAAACCTTTCCCAGAATACAAAGATCCTCACTTAGACCAAAGTGCTACTGAGTCTGAACACAGAACTCCATGCAGACAGGAACTCGGGGCATCCATAAATGTCTCACGGCATTTGTTTGTAGGCAGACCCCTTCATAGACCACTCTTCTGCAGCCATTATAGATGCTTATCTATTGGTGTTTTCCACTAATAAAGAAGTATATATTCATGACAGAAAAATGGAAATCATCTATAATTCTACCATTCAGAACATGTGCATAATTTTTCTGTATGGCTTTTTGCCCCTTCATTTCATATTTTTAAACTATAGATCTGTCATCTTTCCTATCAGTACATGTCAAAAATCTATCTCATTCTTTTAACTGCAGCTGTTATTTTTTCTTGAACACTGGTCTTACAGCTAACAAAGTACCAAGCACAGCTATCCTCTCCCCACTTCCGTCAAGGGCTCAGAGACTACACTAAATCAATGGGTTTCTTTACATTAGAAATGAGCAGAAAGCTATTGGGTGGTGATCAGAAGAGCACACTACTGCTGCCCCTGGGGGAACCGGGCTGCTTTGTTCTGCTGCATTATCTGCCTCAGGATGCCCCTTTCTCCTCCTAGGCGGAGATCTCCTGAAAGGAACATGAGTCCTCCCTTTGCCCTGCTCGGACCCGGCCTAGCATTATGCCTTGCTGGCAGTTGGTACTCTGCTGAGTGAACACATGAATGAAAGAAGGAACAAATGAATGAACCAGATAGAACAAACTCAAAGCTCACATGTAACTTTACCTGAGTTAATTTGCTTTGCCTGAAGGGAGTGTGGGTGTGTTCCTGATCCAATGCTCTGATACATTCCTTCAGCTGCAGAGTGGTAAAATAACAAGCATATCAAATATCACATGTAAATAGAGAGCAACAGATCAGATTTTTCTATAAACCACACAGGCAATCCTCCAAAAGGAAGTCAAAATGCCCTGGTAGTTTCTTGTTCAGCAAGAAGAATAAACTAGACCAGAAAACATCATCCTGTGTTAACTGTGCCCACTTAAGGGACCCTCTACTTAAAGACTGTGATCCTAGGATTAGCCCTGATAGCAGGGAACAGACAAACCCAGACAAACCACCACAGGTCCCAGAGTCTAAGTTTATGTGTTGGCAGTTCTGGCTTGCCAGATCCCTTTCTCTCCTCTTCTCACACTATCTCAACTGTAGATATACTTCAGAAAATACACCACTCCCTGCGCCTCCCTGCTTACACTTTCACATCTATAGGTACACATTCAGATAGAAATGGTCTGAACAGGGCAGGAGAAATTGTCGAGTCAGAACTGTGGAGAAATCATTCAGGTCTACCTCCTCATTAAAAAATAAAACAAAAAGATAGGGACTGTGGCCCAAAGACAAGAGCATGCCACTTACTCCTGGGTAGAATCCCTTCAAAGTGCTCAAAGAAGTGCTCACTGGACATCCCTAGTGCCAGCAGAAACTTGGATGTCAGTCTCCAGGGGCAACATGCCCATCAGAAAGAGCAGGAAGAGCCAGGGTGTGGGGAGGATATGGGGAGAGATCTATTTCTGAGCCATGCATTTAAGCTAAAAGGCAGTCAATGAAAAGGAAGGGAGGGAACTGGATGGAAGGAATCCTTTGGAAGTACCAGTGCTGGGAGTTCCCTAGGAACAGGTAATTAGCCTTGAGAGTTCTCAGTGACAGCCATAGAGACCTGAAACTGACCCCTCTCTAGCCAAGAAGCTTCAGAGTCTAAGAAGGTACAAGTACCCCCCACTTTTTGAAAGTTCACATTATACCACTTTACTTTTAGGAAATAACTACATTAGTACCTGTTTTTGCTAACTAAAAGAAATCTGAAGATTTTCACTTTTACAAAAAAAGGCAAAAAGTGAAATAGCATTCAGCATTTGTTTTGCAGCAAGCTGTTTAGAGGCAGTGTGCATCCCAAGCAGTGAGAGTGGTACCACCAAGCTTCTGCCCCAAGGACCACACTCAGCATCCCAGAGTCAATCTGCCATAGCTCTGAACTGTGTATGTGAGCATCTGTGCTTTATCTCAATTTACTTTGTGCATCCGTTAGCAAGATGTGTCGTAGAGTATCAGGAAAGCCTGAGAGGTTTTTTTTAATTAAAGTATTGTTGATATACGGTCTTATATTGGTTTCAAATATAGAACACAGTGGTTCAACAGTTACCCATATTATTAAATCCTCACTCCCTCTAGTGTGGTCACTATCTATCAATGTAGTAAGATGTTACAGAATCTTTAACTGTGTTCTCCAGGCTATACTACTGTCCCCGTGACCAACTTATATTGTGATTGCAAATTATTGTGCCCCTTAATCCCCTTCTCCCCCTCCCACTGCGTCCCCTCCTTTTGGTAACCACTAGTTACTTCTCAGTGTCTATGAGTCTACTGTTATTTTTTTCCTTCTGTTTTGCTTTGGTTTTATACTCCACAAGTGAAATAATTTGGTATTTGTCTTTTTCTGCCTGGCTTATTTCACTGAGCATAATACCCTCTAGATCCATCCATGCTGTTGCAAATGGCAGGATTTCTTTTCTTTTTATGGCGGAATAATATTCCATTATGTGTATGTACCACATCTTCTTTATCCATTCATCTACTGATGGACACTGAGGTTGCTTCCATATCTTGGCTATTGTAAATAGTGCAGCGATTAGCATAGAGGTGCATATGTCTTTTCAAATCAGGGTTTTTGTTTTCTTTGGGTAAATTCCTAGGTCAAATGGTATTTCTATTTTTAGTTTTTTGAGGAACCTCCATATTGCTTTCCACAACGGTTGGCACCAATTTACATTCCCACCAACAGTGTAGGAGGGCTCCCATTTCTCTGCATCTCTGAGAGGTTATATTTTAGGTCTGGGAACACCCAATACTTTCTCCATGTAAATTAATGGTAATCACTTCTTCACTTTTTGCCATTTTTATAGGAAAGATTTCACAGGAATGCTCTACTTTCAGATACTGGGGGAAAACTGCAAAAGGGAATTTTCTCTTTTATTATAGATCAGTCCAATATCATGAAACTTTAGCATAGAGAAGATTCAAAAGGGACGAACAGGTAACTAAACCCTGCCTGAGTTGTATCTACCCCTTACATCCTCAAATTCAAGTGTGGCCATCAATCCCTAGGAGCCCTGGAATCCCTTTAGCCCTGCTGAATCAGCATAGGAAGTACACTTTATATGGAGCACTAAGGGAGACCCAAGGGGAATACTCAAGGAAGAAACAAGGGGCATCTCTGTGCTCCTCACGGAGCCCGGGATTTTGATCCTATCCTAGAAAGCTTATTCCCAGGCCCCTTTGCATGCTATCTCCCATGTGAGAGAGACATAGTCAAGTCCCAAAGAGTTGTATGACTTCAAAGGTACTTCTTTCCAGGTTTGACAGTAGATTCCTGGACTATGGTTTTAAGTATGAGAATCACTTGAAACCAATATAAGATTGTATATCAACTATACCTCAATTAAAGAAAAATAAATAAATGTGAGAATCACAGATATTTACTTCGAGGCTGTGGACCCTTAGCCAATTCACTAAACCCATCCGAGCCTCAAAATCCTAATCTATAAAATAGAATAAGAGAACTTGCTTCATTTATCCCACAGAGTTGTTGTAAAGACTAAACTGACTAACATATAGTAAGTGCTCAAAATATATTGGTTCCAAGGCTCCTTGGAGAAATGGTTGATTGCAGGGATAGGGCAGGGGAAGTACAAGACGAGTGTGTGATACCTCGTAGTGCCAGAGGGCAAAGAGATGTGCAAAAAAAGGATAGGGGCATATCAAAAGGATAGAGGGGCCAACCTAAAAGAGCTCCAATGGCAAAATTTGGGATGGTTTGAGCAACAAAATTATGATAGAAATCAATTATAATCTAGCAAATAAATATCCATTTACTGTTATAAATAATGTACCAAATAAATAAATTGGAAAGAAAGGACAGCTCTTTCATCCAGCAGAATTCTAACTAATTAATGAGGAAAGAATGATGGGAATGGAAAAATCCCAGCAGGTAAACACCACAGTAATAATTTTTACAGGTAAAAATCATCAATGATGCCAAAATTAGGTAGTGAAAGTGTGATGTAAGCAGGACATTTGCATAGTTTCAAAGTGTCTCCCCATAAGATACTTATTAATAAATTATAAAAGGAAAAAAAATAGTGACTTTACAGCAGAGAAAATGAGCCCAAACCCCCTTAACTAAGTGACTGAGGTTAACATTACCTGTAATAAAACAATATATTGACATCATGCACTACCTGACATGATACACTGAGAAGGGTACAACTTCTGTGGTACTCTTCTTAAAAATTCATTATCTAAGCATCAGAAAACATCAGGCAAACCCAAATTCAGAGATATTCTGCAAAATAACTGTCTAGCATTCTTCAAAGATATTAAGGTCACAAATGACAAAAAATGAGACTATGGAAACATGACAGCTAACCTTAATATAGGATTCTGGATCCAGAGAAGAACATTAGTGGGACTACTGGTGAAATTCAAACACGGTCGATTGATAGCAAATAAGTTCCTGATTTAATTTTACTATGGTTATGTAAGATATTAACATTAGGGAAGCTGGGTGAAGGAACACTATATATTTATTTTTTGCAACTTTTTTTAGTAAATCTAAAATTATTTCAAAAAAAATTTTTTTAAGGTACTGATTCTCTCATCTATCTCAGCCTCCAAATTTATCCCTCATGAAGGCTGGAAACAATGTGCCTAGCTGGAGATTAGTCCTGATCAAAAGGACTTAAAGTAATGTGGAGGAGCAGACCCAAGGCAGCACTTTTCAGCTGTAAAAAGGAATGAGGAAGATCTCTATATCCTGGAGTGAGCTCAGGATATTGTTTAGTTAAAAAAGCAAAGTGCAGAACAGTGTTTACAATGACTTTTTTCCCCCCTAAGAAAAGGAGTGAATACAAACATACATAAAAGGAGAAAATGGTTCTCTAAGGGGAGGGAAGTAACAGGGTTGAGGGGACAGGGATGGATACTAGACTTTTCTGAATATGGTTTGTTTTACAATTTCTACTTTAACTGAATATGAAATTGGTAAGCTTAAACACATAGAAAGAATTATATCAAGCAACTTGGCAACACAATAATATGACTGTACATCCCTAGTGGGATACAACCTAAGAGTAAAAAGGAAACTGCAAAGAAATCTTAATCTGAATTCAATAATCATATTATGAGTAATAGTAGCACTATTTTGAAATATATTGAAGTAGAGCAAAAAAGTTATATTAATGTCATCAGGAGCTAAGAATTTAGTATAAGAGAAAAGGAAGAGAAATATAAATTCAAAAATACTAAGTAAAAAACCCTGTAATCTTAAATTTGAATTGATTCATTAGTATGAATCACTGATATATTTTTCTCTTTTGAAAAAAAATATATTTTCCTAGTTCTGTACATTAAAAAGGCCTAGAACTGTTAACCATTTTACATTCCCACCAGTGATGTATGAGGGGCTCCAATTTCTTCACATCCTTGTCAGTAGTTGTTAATATCTTGTTTTAAATCATATCCATTTTAGCAGGTGTGTGGCAGTATCTCACTGTGGTTTTAATTTGCATTTCTGTAATGATGAAGATGTTGAGCATCTTTTTGAAATATTTAAAACTATAAAATAAAATCTGCTGGTAAGGATCACTATGTAATGATACAATGGAATATTAAAATAATGCTGTATTAAAAAAAAATGGCCTAGAAGCAAGGACTAACCGAGGGGTAGGAAGCACCCCTAGTATCCCTAAATGGTTTCTAAATACCAAGGCTTGTTTCCCTCTAAAACCAAGGCTTGTTAAAGG